AGAAGCCTAGTGAACCGGAAGCTGAGCACAGCACTGCAAATTCACAGATGACTGCACTTGTTAAAACCTTGCAGAACATGAAAACAATTGTCAACCATGAAGACATGCTTGAGGTATGGCATTGCAGTGAACATTATAGCAGTCAAAGAATTGTGCTGGTGTTGTATTGAATTTGCTCCTCTGGGAGATGAGAATTTCTGTTGACAATAGGAGAAAATTGCCCTCTATAAGTGCTGTAAATTCTGGTGGTTTGCACTGCAGTGTTTCTCTCCCTTCAGGTTATATTAAGCAGAAGTTAGAATAACTAATGAAAAGTTCATAGTGAAAGACACATGCATTTGAAGAAAAATAAAGCAAACTCAATTCAAAGTTGATCTAAACTGTGACAGGACTGACACTTTGATAGAATTTTCCAGGTATTGCTTGGTTGTCAGTTGTTCATTAAATAATCAGTTTTAATTGTTGCTGAAATGAAAGAATATCTAATAACTGGGAGCAGTCACAAAATCTATATACCGAAATGACTATACACATGCACCTCAAATGGAAAGTGCATAGTGGATTTGAAAATACTTACTCCTCTGTGTTTATGAGTGAGATGCCATTAATATCACTTGCAATGTGTTCACCTCTGAGAGATTTTGAACTGCTGAACTCTGTACATCTTTGACAAACACCATGTGCTCATTTATCTAGGAAGTCTTGAGATTTATCACAGTTCTCAGTCCCAACCTCTAAAATGCTTTTTTTTCATAGTTTCACAGGCAGATTGGGGTTTTTTGTGTGAGCAGTGGAACATGTATGTATATCTTTTGCTGAAGAGACTTGGTGACAGTCAGTTGGGGCTATCACTGGCTACTTCCCCACCATTGTGTTCCTCATTCTGAAAATGCTGGTTTGGACATTTTCCCTTGATTTAAAACATAATTTCAGAAGATCTTGTTAGTTACCTAATGATAATGACAGCAGTTAATGCTAGTAAATAAGTGAGGAAAGGATAGAGAATTCCTTACTTACATGGAATAACCTGCTGGTAACTCTGCTGCAATTCCATCCAGATATCGAAAGTTTCCATGCTCAATACATTTCTCATTTCCACATTGATTACACTTGTATGCCACACACCAGAGGAAGGCAATGTGATGGATGCAGTGAAGAGTTTGTTCCAATTGCAGAGAAAAGCAGGTGGACTTTCACCTTTCATTTTTAAAGAGGACTATCATAGCTTGGTCACTGCATCTCCGTCACGTTTGTCCTCCCTGCAGTCCAAGAACTGGCCAGGTAATTACTGCCCTGGGAAAGGTGGTGCCCCAGTAGGTTCCTCATGTTCAGTGTTCTAAAACTGTGAGAAAAAAATGAACATTGCCAGATTATTTTTGCAATTTGCAACGTGGATTCTGTAGCATTTGTAGTAGGAATCATGTTTACTAGAGAGAAATTTTTACTTTGGGAACCTAAAGAAGGTTTGTTGGGGGTTAATTTCTCCAAAATATTACTGGAAGCAGTTGGTTTTTGAAGGTGATGGGAGTACCGGGCTGGCAGCAGGATATGAATCAGTTGCATGGCTGCTCTTGCAGCAGCTTTTTGTTTTCATCTCTTTCATAAGTGCACTGAGCTCCATCTTATGGCTCAGAACCAGAGATGTATTCAGCATTGCATTATTCCTCTTCAGTTGTTCTTGGGGTTAAATAATTACTTTTCCTTTTGGAATTTACCCCAAGCAAGCTGCCCTTGCTCTGTTTTTGCTAGACTAGGCAGGCCAAGCTCGTTCAGTCCTTTCTCAGAGCACAGCTCTCCATTCCTAGGGTTGTCTTGGTCATGCCACTCTATAGCTGTTTCAGTTTGAGCTCTTCTCTGCAAAACCGGTGCTCAGCTAGTCAGTCTGTGGTGATTGCTGGTTCAGTGATCACTTCATGACTTGAACTCAGCTGTAGCTTCTCTGCAGTGGTGGAACAAAGGCTACACCAGCTTTTGCTCCAAGTAATTTTTTGCAGCTGAAGTTACCTGTTTGAGTGTCATTCCCACAGAGTTATCACTGACAATGCAACTCTGCATGTGCCACTCCTGAAAGATAACTCAGTGACTTGCACTAGAGACACTACAAAGTTACATTATTCCTGTGTTATGTGGTTTATCTTTTCCCCTTTGTTGTTCAGTGGGTGATAGCTGAGGTGGCACTTACTTAACCTTTAAGCTGTCCTTTGAAATGCACAGCATAAAGCTGTTTTTTCTTTAGCAGGAGTCAGAAGAACTCTCCTCTGATGAAGAGATGAAGATGGCAGAAATGCGTCCACCCCTGATAGAAACCTCCATAAACCAGCCCAAAGTGGTAGCTCTTAGCAATAACAAAAAAGGTTAGACACCGTAAAAAGCCGTGGAAGTGTTGTGTGATTCTGGTAATTTCTTGGCTCGAAGTGGTTAGTTTTTCCAATTAAATTATGTAGAGCTAGATTTAATTTGTATGTTATAAAGAAAAGTAGAGAATTGATCATCTAAGCAATGAAAGCAGAAAAAAAACCACCCCTGCACATGATAGAGGAAGTTGTATTGACATCCTGATTTTCTTGATTCCTCTAGTCAGTTTAAGAACAGAGGGGAAAAGGAAGTGTGTGTGTTTTGGGGGACTGTGAGCTTGAACACACTCATGATGTGCTTAAGGAAAGGGCTGCAGAAAATGGTATTTTTATTGGAAATATTCTCTATCTCCCCATCAACACAGATTGTGAATTATTCCTGCTATAGGCAGCAGTATCACTTGTTTAAAGTGCTTAGAGAAGCTGTGCTCTCTTTCTGAGGTTTAGGAGTGAACTTCTCTTGTGGCAGCTCTTTCTCCACAGTTAATTTACTCTTATTTTCTGTTGCTCCTCTAACAGGAAACTTCAGAACATCTTTTTTGTTAACTAAGGTTTATATTCTCCAAAAGATGATTTCAGTCTGGGTAACCATTTCCTTAACAGTAAGGAATGGCCTAGTATTCAGTGAAAATATGGTATCAAAATTGGATAGCAAACAGTATTTTACTTCATGTGGTGTCCTAGTCCAGTACTTTGCAGGTCAAAAGGCTTTTCTGGCCATTAGATGTAAGAAGGTGGGATTTAGTGAGGAAAACCACATGGAGGTAGCAGGAAGAGTCTGCTGAGGATCACACACAGATGAAAAGTTTGGTGTTTATCTATGCTGTCTTCGGGTTTTTATGTCTGACTAAAGCACCAGGTCAAAACTTCTTTCTTGTCTTTGAAGATAGACCTTAGTTCCACAAAATTTATGCTTTTTGGCACCTGTAACTGTCTCTTGAAGCAGAAATTTAAATGTATTTGTTTCTACACTCACGTCAGAATCACGACTGGCTTGAATTCCCCCCGAGAAATTGTTTGTATATGGATATAGTATGTAAGTATGCATACATTGTGCAAGAATCAATGTGCACAGGGGCAAATTACTTGGAAATGTTGTCCTAAGTGATCAGCAAAGCTTGGGGATGCATTGGATTCCAAATCTGCAGAAGAACATTTTCCATTCCTGATTTCTTATATTTACCAAAGCTATTCATAGCTTATCCAGTGATCTAGATTGTTCCAGAGTCCTTGGTCTAATAAGGAGCAATTTGACAATGATAAGCTGTTCAAAATCAGGGACAGAGTCCACTTCCTCAATCCTGCATGTGAAGCAGTGTGCTTAGTTTTCCAGGGGGCTAATGGAATTGTGTAATTCAAACCTTTGAAATCACTGTGAAAACAGAAATATGATTTGATAGATGTTTTGGGGAAGTATTTGAAAATGCAGCACTAGCTTATGCCAAGGGAACTAGGAATAAAGCTGAATTTAATTAGCAGGTAAGGGCTGTTTACATTGGGGCAAGTATTTAAAAGATGGGCACTATTGCCAGCAGTGTTTTGTAAGTGTAAATGAACTTTGCAGAGGGGTTAGCTTACGTTGTAGTTTCTGGTCTTAGGAATTACTGA